ATTGCCCAAAAATGTCAGGGACAGGTCTCCCTACTCAAAATAGTTCACCTAAGAGGGCAAAAGGAGCTTCAGTTTCCTATTTAATCCGAAAGGGAGCACCTCCAACAATGCAGCGCTGCCATATGTAGTGCACTGGATTCGTGGGACAGAAATCAGTCATATGGCACGGAAACAACAGATCCTTCAGTCCAACTAGTCCATGCCCACAAAGTTTCCCAAACTAAAATAATCCCAGTTGCCTGCACTTGGCCCATATCCCTCTGAACCTTTCCTGGTCATGTCCTTATCCAAATGTCTTTTTAAACATTGTAACTGTACCTGCACCCACCACTTCCTCTGGCTGTTTGTTCCACACATGAACCACCCTGTGTAAAAGAAACCAAGTTACCCCTCATTCTCGTGTTTTTGTTTTTTTAACATCTTTCTCCCCTCACCTTTTGAAAATATGGCCCTAGTTTTGAACTTCCCTGCCCTAGGGAAAAGACTTTTTTGTGATTCACCTTATCTATATCCCTAATGATTTTATAAACCTCCTAAGGTCACCGCTCAACCTCCTATGTTCCAGTGGAAAAAGGTCCCAGCCTATCCAGCCTCTCCTTTATAACTCCAACCCTCTATTCCTGGTAAATCCTTTCTGGACCCTCTCCAATTTAATAATATCCTTACTTTAGCAGGGGGAACCAGAACTGTACACAGTACTCCAGAAGAGGCCTCACTAATGTACTGTACAACCTCGACATGACATCCCAACTCCTATACTCAGAGGTCTAAGCTATAAAGGCAAGCATGCTAAATGCCTTCTTAACCACCCTGTCTACATGTGACACACTTCAAAGAATTATATACTTGAACCCCTAGGTCTCTGTTCTACAACGCCTACCCAGGGCCCTACCATTAACTGTATAAGTCTTGCACTTATTTGTTTTACCAAAATGCAACACCTCACACTTTATCCAAACTAAATTCCATCTACCACTCCTCAGCCCATTGACTCAATTGATCAAGATACTTTATAATCTTGGATGACCTTTTACTATCCGCTATACTGCCAATTTTGGTGTTATCTGCAAACTTACTAAGCATGCCTCCCTAAATTCTCATTCAAATCACTTATATAAATGATGAAAAACAGAGGACTGTATACTGATTCCCTGTGGAACACGGCTGTTCACGGGCCTCCAGTCTGGAAAAACCACCACCACCCTCTGTCTCCTAACTTCAAGCCAATTTTGTATCCAATTGGCCAGTTCCCCCTGAATCCCATGTGATTTTAATTTTACTAATTAGTGTATCGTACAGAACGTTCGCAAAGACTTTTTTGTTTACTTGGACTTCAGCAATGTTTACTGTTCTGTCCTCATCAATCTTTTTGATAACTTCCTCAAAGTTTGTGCAAGGAAAGTTGTGGTTCACAAAGCCATGCTGCCTATCCCTAATCAGTCCTTGCCTCTCCAAATGCATGTAAATCCTATCTTTCAGAATCCCCTCCAATAACTTACCCACCACTGAATTCTGACGCTCAGATCTATAGTTCTCAGGCTTCCCCTTACAACGTTTCTTAAGTAAAGGCACAACATTCACCACCCTCTGGTAATCACCTGTGGTTATAGATGCAAAAAAACTTTTTTTTTTGCTAGAGACCCTGCAATTTCCTCCCTGATTTCCCACAACATCCTGGGTTACAAGTGATCAGGTTCCAGAGATTTAACCACCTTTTTTGTGGTTCCTAAGATGTCCAATATTTCCTCTTCTGTAATATGCTCTGTTTTCAAAACATCACTGTTTACTTCCCCGCGTTCTCTAGCCTCCATTTCTTTCTCCACAATTTAAAAACTGACGTGAAATATTCATTTACTAGCTCTCCATGTCCTGAGGTTCAACAGCACTAAATCTACAACCATTGTACCCTATGGCAAAGGTCTTTCAGAAAAGGCCTGCTTGACTGTTTTAATGAGCAGAATGGTTGGCCACTTCTGCTTTTTGGCCACAAGGTTACAAATTACCCATGCACTGATTTTTCAAATTGTGTATCTCTGCTTGGAAAAGGTAGCCTTTTTATTTTGAACTTTTTTCAAAACCGTAACTTCATATTAAATTGCAACTGTCCCATGCCCATGACCACCCATCTTTTCCTGCCAATTTGTATATTTGTTAACTCCTAATTTATAGGAATCTAACACACTGCTTGATGTTAACTGAAATGTTATGCCTGAAAGATCTTTTGTAAGTCTGACTCTTAGACTAACTGGTTTTTCAGTCAGACTAAACAGGCAAACCATTGCTCATTCAGTAATATAATCCTATTGCTTAACTTTTTGTAAATGAATACAGAGATGTAACCAGTTGTGATTCCTTCTGAATTGCATGTACAACCAAAAAAAGCTTGTTTCAAAGGTTTTATTAGAAGTGGCTGTTTGCTGCTCTGGAGCAGAGAACACAGTGCAGCCAACTCTGTATTTATAGTGGATCCAAATTTTGTGCTAAGAATAACAATCGGACTGCTATATTGCACACTGTCACTATAAATTAAATCTAACATCCATACGTGCAGTTAAGCACACACGTCGGAAGTTGCTATCTGTTATTGCTCTAATCCTGCCAAGTTGCACAAAACAATTAACTTGCCAAAAGACTCTGAACAGAAACAGATGCAAGGCATAAAGTGTTAGTCATTTGCCCAATGGCCGCAATAAACTTGGTTCGCAAAAACAAATTTGTAATTAATTTTCCTTAAATAGCTGAGTCTTATTTGTTACTGCATCTGGCAATGCAAGCTAACATTTCTTACCCGCAAGTGTGGCGTCTCACTTCTTTGGATATTAACTGTTGTTGGAGATTTTTTTTCCCTTCTAATCCTAAATGGTGGAATGCTGCTCTCTGGATTGTTGAGCTAGATTTAGACTTTTAGGTTTAGATTTTACTGTAGTGGGTACTCCAGTACAGGAGTACAGTGAAAAGTGTATAATATCACCACACAAGGTACTCGGGTACAAAGCAGTAAGAAACACATTTTTTAAAAAAGCTAAGCATTATCTTCATTTAAGTAGAAATATCAGGACTCAAAGGGGAATTGGAAATTGGGATACAGAGTGCAAAACGAGCTAAGAAACTTAAAACAGAGGTGTTAGCTTCCAATTAGTCACCCATACTATTCACCTATAATCAGAATAGTATCAACCTTGTGTGAGTTAAGATGTGGGCAGCAGAGTATGGGAGATTGTCTTCATGTGAAGTGCAAGATGGGATGTTAAGCTGGAAAGCATTAGTGGTCAATTCTATAGGCAAGGACAAGGACAAGGATGAGGCATGGGTAGAGTTGAGATGTTGGATGTAGGATTTGATGCTACTGATAGCTGAACAAGTTCCACATTTCAGACAGGAATCCTTTGATTTGGGTTCTGGTTGATCACTTGGATGAGATGTATTCCACCTTGAAAAGAAACAATTTTTTTAGTCCCAGTGAGAATAACCTGTTAGATTGCTGCTTGGATTCAATTTCATTGAATCCTGTCCAATGATATTCTTACTGTTTCTATTTTGAGCTTTTGGATTAGCCTGGAATTTTACCTGGCAGTTTTCCACCCTTTTTTTTTTTTTGAGAAAAAGAATGTTAAGGTTTCTGTATATCAGGTTCATGGCTTAATTTATTTGCTGTTATCGTTTGAAAGCAGACTTCGTTTTTCTTTTAAGTTAGTCATACAGCGCAGAAATAGACCCTTCAGTCCAACTTGTCCATGCTGACCAGGTTTCCCAAAATGAACTATTCCTGTTTGACTTGTATCCCTCCAAAGCATTTTTGCTACACGTGTACCTATCTAGACGTCTTTTAAATGTTGTAACTGTGTACCTGTCTCTACCACTACTTCTGGCAGCTCATTCCCTCAGCTCACTGCCCTGTGTGAAGGAAATTGCCTATCGGGTCTCTTGTTTAGTTTTGAGATACTGTTCCAAAGATAGCTCTTATCTCTTACTGACCGGTAAGAAAATCTGCCTGTCTGACCCATTTGAGTCTTAAGGGCCATTAATCCTAGGGGGTTTGTTCTAAGCCTACAGCTGCCACTTTGTGGGACACTTGAGGCAGTTGGTCAAATGTTACCCAGTGCAAATTTTAATTGTTTTTGCAATGGTTAACTTTTTTTTTTCTGTCTCTCGGATCAGTTTCTACTCCCTGGCCCCTGATGACCAGTGGAAGGAAAAATTGGGACTAGAAGCCAATTGGCTAAATATATAAACAGGTCCCTTTAAGGCTAACCAGGTCAATGGATCTCCTGTCATCACAGAACAGGGACAAACGTTTAGCTCCCATCTCTATCTTGATAAGGGACATATATTATATTCACTGCCAACCCCAGAACTATATTTCCCTTGCCATACAAGAATAGAATACATAGCCTTTATTGTCACATGCACTCATCTGAGTGAAGTAAGAAGCTTGTAACATCACTTCTTGGGTACAGGATACCTAGGTGCAGATACTTTAGTGTCACAGAATTGAAATATTAAAATAAAATAGACTAGCATGGGAATACATAATTTAAAAATCCAGAATGAGAATAAAAAGTGTCTTTAAAGTATGCAAGTTCCATGTACATCTTTGGATCAAGTGCTGGAAAATGGGATTAGAATAGTTAGGTGGTTGTTTGTGACCAGTGCAGATGTGATGGGTCATGGAGCCTTTTGCTGTGCTGTAGACCTCTATGGCTCTGTATAGTTTGTGGCAGTTTTTTTAAAGCTTCAAATGCATTTCCTGTTCAGAGAAACTCTGGTCCAGCAGCATCGATGGAGAGATAACGGTTAATAACGTTTCAATTCCAGTGGCCGCCCTTCAGAAGCATTCTTGCATTTTTTCATTCTGAAAAGTAACAGTAATTACTTTTGTAATAACTGCTGTGAAAATTTCTAGAGATAGTAAGAAAACTTTCTACTTGTTCAAGGGGCACCTTGTAGAACTGCACACCTGGGGTAAAGTAGTAAAACTGAGCTTTTTTTTTAACTTTCAGAAATCTTTTGTGTTGAAAAGACATCTGAAAATCTCACGGCCTGCACTATACACGACGAAGTTTCAATGTGTGAAGGTAGGAGAAATGATGTGACTTTGACACTGCCTGACTCATGCCTTGCTATTCCCAGAATGTAAATTGCTCACCGCCTCCTGCCGGCAAAATGTAAAGCTGCTGATGTGCTAACTCTCTCTGACGTTTCTCCATTACATCAGTGTACCGGATTTGAGACTTTCCTTGTAACTAATCCTTTGAAGAAAGTGTACTTGTGCTTTGTTTAGATAACCTGAAAATCATACCTTTTAGTTTAGGTTCCGGTTGAGCATTTTGAACGTTGCACATTAGAGAGAAACAATTATTTTAGTCCCAGTGACAGCAACCTACTATCAGCTGAAGGATTTTGTGGTGGGACTTGTTTAACAGCATGGTGACCTTTGCTCCTTGTGTCACTGTATGCTGCAAATAGCTTTGAGTGATGTAGAAACACTTTTTCTCTACTTCACCGCCTCCTTGATCTTTTGGAGTACATAATTCTAAAGACAGAACTTTCTGGGTGACACAATTCTTTCTTGTCCAGTCTTAAATTGGAGGCTGTTATTTTGAGACTGCTTGCGTTTTTTTTAAAATTGGGATGTGGGTTTAGCTGGCTGGCCAGCATTTATTGCCCATCCCTTGTTTCCCTTGAGAAGGTGGTGATCGTGCTACATTCTTGAACTGCTCTTGTAGGTTGACCCACAATGCCCTTGGGGAGGGACTTCCAGTGACACTGAAGGAACAGCAATATGTTGCCAAATCAGAATGGTGATTGGCTTGGAGGGGAACTTCCAGGTGGTGGTGGTGGTGTTCCCATGCATCTGCTACCCTTGTCCTTGTAGATGGAAGTGGCTGTTTGTTTGGAAGATGCAGTCGAAGGAGTTTGGTGAATTTCTGTATTACATTTTGCAAATGGTGCACACTGCTACTGAGCATTGGAGATGGAGTGAGTAAAAGCTTGCAGATGTGGTGCCAATCAATGGGCTGCCCTGTTCTGGAGGATATCAAGCTTTTTGCGCACAGTTAGAACTGCACCTGCCCAGGAAAGTGGGGAGTGTTCCATCATACTTCTGACGACTTTTTTTTTTGTGTCCTAACTTTATCTTTCCCCTAAACATTTTTTTTTTTTTTAAGCATCTACCTTGTCATACCCCTCAGAATCTTTTGTATGTTTCAGTAAAATTACTACTCCCTCTTCTAAACACCAATCAGTACAGGCAGAAACTATCCAACCTATTGTCATAGGACACCTGTTTCATTCCAGGAATCTACTCCCCACCCCCAATTTCCCCATCATATGTTTTCTTCTTCCACTTTTATTCTGTGTATTCTCTTAACCATATTCCTTTTGTATCCTTTGTATCCTCTTCTCAACTTGCCTTCTTACTTATCTTCTGTACCTTTGGCAAATTTGGCTACAGTACAGAGATAGTAGGAACTGCAGATGCTGGAGAATCTGAGATAACAAGGTGTAGAGCTGGATGAACACAGCAGGCCTGAAACATCAGCCTTCCTGCTCCTCTGCTGCTTGGCCTGCTGTATTCATCCAGCTCTACCCCTTGTTATCTCTTGGCTACAGTACAGTCGACCACTTCATCCAAGTTTGCAATATAGACTGTCAATAGTTACGGCTCCTTCACTGATCCCCTGCAGTTCCCCATGAAGTTAAGGGTTGTTGACCTGAAAATGGCTAATTGATCCTGACTCTGTTTCCCAGTATTTAGTAAACCCTCTTCATGATGATCTATCACTCCAACACCACCACCAGCTCTCGTGTTTAGTTTTCTCTGTAGTGCCTTTTTCAAATACTTTTTGGAAACCTCAAATACAGTGCATCTACTGGTTTCCCTTTTTATCCATTCTGCTTGCTACACCCTTAAAGAACTCCAATAAATTAGTCCAATGTGATTCCCCTTTTCATCCAGTCATGTTGACTCTAAATTCCCTGCTATTACCTCAGCAATGGATTCCAGCATTTTTCCAACAACCAATGTTATTTCCTGTTTCTGTCTCCCTTCTCCATCTGTCCTTCCTTTTTTGCTAGATGCATTATATGTTTTTTTTTTTAAATCTTTCTAGAATGTAGAGTATTTTGGCAGGTACAACCATTGCATCCAGTATCTCTGCAGCTACCTTCTTAAGACCCTCAGGAGCAGACCATCCATCAGAGATTCCGCAGTCTTTGGTTCTGTTAGATTTCCCAATACTTTATTTTTCTCTAGTGTCTGTGTGTATTGGTTTAAGTTCCTCCCTCACTTATTGACTTTTTTTCTTTGAAAAATGTTCTACTATCGCAATAATGATTCCATGAAGACCAATACAAAATGCTTTCTCAAAATTATTGCTATTGCTTTGTTTCTCAGTTTCATTCCCAAGGCGGCTCCGAGGATGAGATGAGACCAGTGTCATCTTACTTTTTAGAAGCTCACTGTTGTGATATGTTCTTTACTCATTCATAGTATTCAATATCTTTTTTTTTGTTTTCTTTCAATTTGACACAATCCCTAAATTTCACAGCACTGGGTGTTCTCTATTGGCTAACGTTTTAGGAATGGAGCAACTGGTTGGACCTCCTCTCACCTTCCATGGGTTCCAGAGGTGTTGGTTATAGAAAAGTGAGAGAGTTCCATTACGAGAGGATGCCATTCAGCCTCTTAAGCCTCTCCTGGCTTTCTGTAAAAACAATTTATTATTCCACTCGCCTGCCTCTCAGGTGAAGGAGAGAAGTTTGTCATCTTGAGAGGTATAGATAAAGTGAATGGTAGGTTTCTTTTTGCTAGGGTGGAGGTTTTCAAGACTAGCGGACTTTTTTTAAGGTGAGTGGAGTAAGATTTAAAGATATGAAGAGCAACTTTTTCAAAAGATTTGCGGTTTGTGTGTGAGATTAGCTTCCAAAGGAAGCAGACATAGTCTGGATGCAAGACATAGTTACAATTTTTTTTAATGCACAATTTTCCCTGTTCACTTTTTTAAAAATTCTTTTGTCAGTCACTCTCTACATATGTTTCCCCAGGTTCTTGATCCTTCAGCCAATGGAAACCATTTCTATGCACTGTTCAGATAGTATTTTAAGCAGCTATGCGATGAATTGGTTTTATTGAACGTTTGGTTTATGTTAACAACTATTTTCACAAGGTATTTAAGACTTGTCCATCTTCATCAAAGGCTAGGAATGATGCCATTACCATGTGATCCATAAATACCATAAAACATGAGCTGATTGGCCTCCTGTTTTTCCATCAAGTCCACTACACCATTCATTGAGATTGTGGTTGATTTATTAATCCTCAACTCCTCTTTCCTGCCTTAACCTAAACCCTTAATGCCATTCCTGATTAAAAAGCGCCCTCTGCCTTGAATATACTTAATGACACAGCCCTCTGCAGTAAAGAATTCCACAGATTCATTACTTTGAGAGAAGAAATTCCTCCTCATCAGTCTTAAATGTGCAGCCCCTTATTTTGAGATTGTCCTCTTATCCTAGGCTCACCCACAAGGGGAAACAATCTCTCCATCTACTCTAAGTCCTCTAAGAACTCTCTTTCAATAAAGTCACCCTTGCATCTGACCCTTTTTCAGATGTTCTTGTTCTTGGACTACAATAGCTCAAAATGGCTTCATTTCTCAAATGTTCTTGTACAGTTGTCTTTTTTAGTGACTTTTCCTAAAAGGATTAGCTTGAGATCTCTTGTGTTGATGGTTCCCGAAGAATGAAATAGTGTCAGGATGTTGGCTTTCTGAGGTGATGAAATAATTCAGTGACACACCACTGATTACTGCTCTTCATTGAGTAACTCGGTCAGAAGAATTCATAATGTGAGGAAATAGAAAAAGGACTTCAAAGAGGTGAACTATTGCCAAGTCTAGATGGTGCAAAAAAAAAATTGTTTTGTTTTAGTTAGAATTGTGTAGCAAATCAAAACTTTTGAAAGGAGGCATAATTGGTAGAGGCATCTTCCTTTTAAGAGAAAGTGGTTTCAACTTAAAAACTGTCCATTTGCTGAAATAAACCTGTAAATGTTACTGTTCTGTCTCCTCAGCTATGTCTTTTCTTGCCACTACTCCTGTTTTCAACACCACTAGCACTGTGACTATTTCTGCTACTACAGGTAAAATGAAAGCAATTACTCACTAAAACACTCTGGGATAAGTTACTGAATTAGATGTTTTCATTTTAAAGTTTAGTTTTGATGGTTATGGCAGCATGTTTTTCAGTCCTTGAACTCTTGTAGCACACATTTTAACACTGAAGGACCAAGTTTTGAATTCCATTATCTATTGGTTCAGCTCACTCCAGTTGGACAAGGGTTGAGTGCTGATTTTAGGCTCTTCAGTGGAGTCTGTTAATGTGGAAATACTAAAACTCTCAATGCAACAGCACACAACTTGTCAGCCTGCTGTGAAAGCTTGTTCCATGAAGCTAGCTCCTGTATCTGCATGTATTTTTCTCCCTTTTTTTTTTTTTGTTTTGAAGGTGATGGGTTAGCAATTTTTTTTTTGTTCCAGGTCTTACTAACATCTTTACAAAGGGAGCATGCATTTAAAGTGAGACAGTGAAAGTTTAAAGGAGATGTTGAGGGGGATGTTTCCCACACAGTGGTAGGAGTGTAGAATGCACTGCCAGGTGTGATGGTGTAGTCAGATATGATAGTGCTGTTTAACAAACTCTTAGATAAGCACACGAATATGCAAGGAATGGAGGGATATGGACCATGGGTAAGCGGAAGGGATTAGTTTAATTTGGCAACTTGTTTGGCACAACATTGGGCCAAAGGGCCCGTTCCTGTGCTGTACAGTTAAATGTTCTAAATGTGGCGTTAGTATGTGCTAGGGTGGCTCAGTGGTTAGCACTGCTGCCTCACAGCGCCAGGGACCCAGGTTCAATTCCACCCTCGGGTGACTGGAGTTTGCTCATTCTCCCCGTGTCTGCGTGGGTTTCCTCCCACAGTCCAAAGATGTGCAGGCTAGATGGATTGGCCATGCTAAATTACCCATAGTGTCCTAGGGATGTGTAGAGTAGGTGGGTTATAGGGGATGGGTCTGGATGGGATGCTCTATGGGTTGGTGAGGACTTGTTGGGCCAAAGGACCTGTTTCCACCCTGTAGGAGTTCTATAATCTATGCGGGAGGGTTTTAACAAATTTATGGCAAGGACTTCAAGAATTTTTCATATTTTAAGCCAAAACACACTCTTGATCGCTAACTCCATACACTCTAATAATTGATTAACATGGTGGCACGGCGGCTCAGTGGTCAAATCTGCTGTCTCCTAGCATCAGGGTCCCGGGCTTGATTCCCACCCTGGGTGACTGTCTGTCTGGAGTTTGCACATTCTCCCTGTGTCTGTGTGGGTTTCTTTCAGGTGCTGGGTTTCCTCCCATAATCCAAAGATGTGCAGGTTAGAGTAGATTGGCCATGCTAAATTACTCTGGCCAGGAATGTGCAGGCTAGGTGGGTAGGCCGTGGGAAATGCAGGGATAGGGTTGGGAGATGGGTCTGGGTTGGATGCTCCTTTAGAAGGGCTGTGTGGACTTGTTCGGCCAAATGGCCTGTTTCCACACTGTGGGGATTAAATGAAATAGTAAAGGCATCATAATGTTTCAGCCACAAACTAGTCCTGGGGCATTAGGAGAAGAATCAACCTTAGTCAAAGACTTGACTGAGTTTTCTGTTTCTCTCTCTTATCTGTTCAATATGTGCTTGATTGTATTCAAAGATCAGTGAAAGTTTTTTCTTCTATAATACTTTTTAAAATTGGGAGCCAATTTTTGATTTTAAGGTTTTGTACCAGTTCATCCTTGGTGGTTGGGTTGAGTTAACTGCATGCTGGTTTGTGATGTAGTGATTCCAATGGCGCGGGTTCAACTCCTGTACTGGGTGAGGTTACCATCAATGTTCTCCAATGTTACCCTCACCTGAGGTGAGGTGACCCTTCGGTTAAACCTAGTACCAGTCCCCGCATTCTCCCTCAGATCTGGTATGTGCTCTCTATTTCGTCTGCCCTCCTGCTGAATTCCACATGCATCTAACCTGTTAATGTTGGGAATCATTTACCTTTTTTGTGTTTGATTATTGTGCATTACAGAATGTGACAGCTGGTATCTTATTAATCAACTCACAGACAGCAATGGCTCAGTACTTTATACAGTGCCCTGCAAACTTCATTAGGCACATGTGGTCTGGGTGACGGATTTTGTCTGCCCCAGTGATTCCAATCTGACGTAAAAGTGTCTGTGAACGATTTGAGGAATTGTAGTAACAAGGTATAGAGCTGGATGAACACAGCAGGCCAAGCAGCATCAGAGGAGCAGGAAGGCTGACGTTTCAGCCTAGACC